GCTATAAATATTAGTGGTTCGCAAAAATACACAAAGGCAAATTACAACTCATAATCCGTGCCCAAATGGTTATTCGCATCAACTTTCATAAAAACGTGTCCAGAATAATTCCGGTGGGAACAGCATTTTTCAATTCATCTCCCAGTAATTAACGTTATGCAGTAGGTGAAAATTTCGGGGTCAAGGGAAGAAAAAATTCGCCGTTACTAGGGGTGAAAGGTATGAAAATATTCGTCTCTCAGGGGTGAAGTGGTTAATTTATGTTTTAGATTGACTGTGATTTTGAACGTCTTAATCCCGGAAAATCCGAATTGATGCTGCGGAAGTGGCCAGGCATTGCTAAGCAAATTTGCGAATTTGCTGAAACTTCAAGAACTAACGCAGTTTCAAGCACAGGAATAAAGAAACTGTTATCGCGATGGTCATTAGGTGATACAATTTTTTTTAAACAAGTCCACAGTTTAATTCATAATTTTCAATAATATTTATTTAGAAGAAATTTCAATTGGAGCTCTCTTACTTCTTCCATCCTTGACCTATAGCCCCGCCTACAAGAAAATTGGAAACAAAAAAGCTAAAATTTCATCGTCACAATCAGCAGAATATTTTTTACAGCATAATATTATTATATATTGTCCAATTTGTTTTGGTAAACTAATTTTATTTACTTAATAGACGTACGAAAATATCATTTTAACCAACTTATAAAAAAACAGATTACAATTTTTGTCATATTTGTTTAGGCGACAGATGATTTGGAGACGCTTCAAAACACAGAGTCCAATAGAAAGCAGCCGTTTGTGATCTGTGTTGGGGACCTTTCAAATATTGTCATAAAAGATGTGTTCGTCATGGTGGAAAGGAAATTAATTAGATCCGCATCTTTAATTACAGCAGTTGATCTTTGTTTTAAGATTTTTCATGTTTTAAAACTTCAATTCCCGGATGAATGTTTCCCTATCTGGTCGTTTTTTGATCATTGTGTCTACCAAACAAAAGAGATACGAACCCCTCCCAAATCAGTATTAACTCTTGGATCTCACATTCATTTGTAATTTTTGACCAATTTTGTTCTACTTTAATTCAATGTTATTTGTGTAGAAGTATAATTCATTAGTAATCCATATTTAATTTTAATTTTAAATTGCTCTAAATTTTATGTAATTTTGCAAGCATAATTTCTGATAAAACCTGCGAGTAAATAAATAATTTGTTGTGCGAATTTTATAAATTATGGATATTTAATTATTTGGTAAAATACATACAATATTTTGAATAAAATTTATGCAAAAGGTTGAACAATGATTAAACAAGTAGTTGAGTAAAATTTATCCAAGCCCTTCAATAAACATTATCCAGCAGCTTGGAGAATTTTCATGCAACCAGTTGAGTAAATCTTGTTCAACTATAGAATAAAATATTGTGTTCAACTAGGTTGAGCAAAATTCATCCAAGACTTCGCTTGGTGGCAATTTTACTCATAGTTGAGCAAAATATTGCTCAACTTTGAATAGAATTGGCTCAACTTTTTTTAATGTGTGGAAAATCTTATCTCTAAAATTACGTATATCTACGTATTGATTTTGTTACAAGTGAAACTGTATCAAGAAAAAAAAATTCTTCGAATATTTTTAGCATTATGAATCATTTTTGTGAAATGAATAATGATTAATGAATAAATATTTATTTTCAAATTTGTTATGAATGAATAAAGAATGAATATTTTTTCGATAATTTTGCAATTAAATGAATTTTTAATGAACAAATATTTTTTGAATAAGGATTCAGTTGTTTTGTTTTGTACACTCTAAGAAACCCGGTAACAAAGTTATTACCAGGCGGAGTATGTATGTGACTCTACCGCATGGTAATTTATTTATTATTGAGAGGTTGACATTTTGTTACCAAGCCGGTAATAACCCCGGTCGCGAAATTTGAAAATTTTACCAGTTGGTAACTAATTTTCTACCACTCAATAATAAGTTAATCACCATGTGGTAGAGTCACATAGATACTCCGCCTGGTAATAACTTTGTTACCGGGTTTCTTAGAGTGTATGTAAATATTACCGCGTCCTTTTTTATTATAAGGTAAGGAATTATTTCAAAGAAATTAAATTAAACTTGATATTTGCATCCGAAAAGTAAATTTAGAAAGTTTAAAATTTCAGTAAACAAAACTCTGGAAAAATAATTGAACTTCATATATGCGTTTTGATTTCGAAAAAGTTTGGAATTGTCAAAATGAATCTACTCAATTCGAAATTTGCATAATTTGGAAAAACCTTTACTATAAAATCCTATGTATTTATTTTATTACATGAAACCCACGCGGAGAAAGCTACCATTCTTAGAATATTGGTCACATTATTGATTAATTTTGTTTAGGTAAATGAACAATGAATGAGGAATTGTATTCCGTTTTTCAATCATACCTGTTCACTTTCATTCATGTGACTAGATATGTGATAGAGAATGATAGTGAATGAGAATGAATTTCCTGTGATTTGAATGAAAATGAGTAAAGATTCCGTCATTTCAGATGAGTGACTGTGAATGAAAGGATTTCTCACTCCGTTCATTTTTCACCCTATATATGCTTAATATATGGGCGAAGTAAGAAATGAAGCCCGATGAAGTGAAATGAAATGAGTTTGAAGGAAAATGACTGAATGTGAATGAAAATCTGCAGTCAGAATTGGAATGACTGAACTTTGAATGAAAAAAGTTTTTTTGAACAGGTATGTTTTCAATTAAAAGAATTTTGCAAATATTTTTTTAACAGGTTTACTCCTAAATGTCTCAAACTTACGTATGTAGTTTTAAAAAAATCGGAAAAACTAATGTAATTATGGTCAAATTATGCTAATTTAATATTGGTAACATTAGTAATGGGCGTACTCACGTTACGTAACGAACACCAATCTGTCCAACTATTGAAATTATTCTTTTCGAAATAATAATTATATTTCCGCTGGGTAAGTCATACAACAGTATCCATCGACTCGTTAATATAAATTGAATTAATAGATCATAGATTCAATTATTAGACCATTAGCGTACTCAGGACAAAGTGTAATTTCGCGGCGCAACTCATTTAGCAAATTTACCAAGCTAAAAAAATGTGTCGTGAGAGGATTTGCAAGATAAGACTTCGCCAATCTACTAAAAACAGCTATCTATTTCCGTAATTTCTCTTGCTGGAAATGGTTAAGATGAATTTGCGAAATAATCTTGCAATTACTTGCAAAAGAAGAACTTGCCCAAGGGCTGGATAAATTTGAGAAAAAGAATCATGTCGTATTCTTACCAAAAGTTTTGCGAAATCTTGCGAATTACGCAAGTTATTTATATATGTTGCTATGCTTAATTTGCGGCCCAAAAATTCGTCCAGAATGAAGACATTTAGCAATAAATTTTCGACTTTTGCGTCTTCTCCACGGTCATGGCAAGTCAAAACTATGGCAATTTCTGAAATCCCTGTCCAAAACTACGTATAAAACGATCAATACAAAAAATTCGACAACTTTTTCCGTTGGCGTCATCACCGTGGCGCCGTGACCTTATGACCCATTAACAATGGAGGTCTCCCAACATATGCTCACAGAGTTGGACTAAATTAGCGTCAATCGATCACAAATATAATTAGTATGAAATTTGCAAATGGAACTATCTCCCAATGCGCAGGTTTGGCGGAGATATTTGCATAAAAAGCGGGAAAATTACGCAGTAAATTTGGAAAATGAAAAATTTGCCACCCTTGGGGGTGCGTTTTCTCCTCTTTTTATGCAAATATCTGCGCTAAACTTGAGCATTGGCAGATAGTTCCATTTGCAAATTTCATACTAATTATATTTGTGATCGATTGACGCTAATTTAGTCCAACTCTGTGAGCATACGTAGGGAGACCTCCATTGTAAGCCCATCTTCGAACTCATCCTGCCCCCAAAAATTAGAAAAACGTTGGCGAAAACCGCATGTCGAAATACGAAACCGTTTTAAAGTTATCGCGGATACAGACGGACAGACAAGAAATTTCCATAAAGGGATTTCACTTCGCTTTACCCCTTAATAATGAGTAAACATTTATTTTCAAATTTTATACAAATTAATAATGAATAAATAATTATATCCAATGAAATTCTTTAATGAATAAGTATTTCGTAAACAGGTATTCAAATATGTCTCAAACTTACTATGTATAGTTTTTTAAGTAATATTTCAACGTCAGAAACAAATTATAAGACAAATATATACAACAAAGCTTCGTCAGATTTTGTCATTGTACGGTCGTGCTTCTCGCGATAACTCAGGTGGTAGTGCTAATAGTTGTAAATTATTGCACTGGGTTGACCAAACATTTATCATAATAAAATTACGGTATTTATTCAACTGACACTATTAAACCGGAGAGGAATGATGTGTACAGTACAAGAGATTCTACACGAATATACGTGCTTACTCGCACACGGACAAAAGCTTACTTACTAAAAAACTGCGGGCTCGAACTGCCCAAAGACAAAGAAAGAATGTTCTAAAAATAGAATCGAACATTCGAGAACAAATTCATAAAATCCGCATGACTTGTCGTGTCTCAACATTTTGGTGCCCCGAGTGAGCCACAAAATGTTGAGACACGACAAGTCACCCACTACCCGTAGGGCTCCGTCTCCTAATATTATGCCTTTTGGGTATTTATGCCACTAATCCTACACGTGCCCTGACTCATTGAACTCTTACTGGTCGCAAAGAATACCGGACGTGCAAAACCGTGGACTTTTCTTAAACAATTTACTTTATTTTACTTTCATTTAAATTATTATGAGAGAGGACAATTTAATGCGACTGCTCACAAACAAAGCTGGACCACGTCTCTTTTTTTTTTTACTTCAACTCTACCGCTCATAAAATCTCACTTTGAACATGAAATCTAACATCACTCCCACCTTCATTGGAACAATGAACAATTACATATTCACAATTCATACATAAATATACATCTTAAACTTGTAACGACAAATGAGAAATCCATTGTCCATATCTGGCGACAGGTTTCAGGTTTCTCCCTCGTTTCGTCTTGACTTCCTTTTGACGATCATCCTCCGTCGCCAATTCGTCTTGCATATCTGTTGCTGTCCTCTCATCATGGATTTGAACAGCAAGTTTTCTCACTTCTTCGGAAACTGGTATTTCTTCTTTACCCGAGATTTCCAAAGGATATACTCGTTGTAAAGGACGCGTCAGAATGCGACCTTTCTTCACAGTCTTGAGGATATATGTTCCGTTGCTCCCTCTCACTAGTCCGTAGTCATGTGGAGTTTGAGCTTTCACCACCCTCACTTTTCCATCACGTCCAGGAATCAACTCTAGCACACGACCCATTGGCCATTGGAACCTCTTCACGTTGTCCGCTCCAATCATGACGATGTCTCCGACTTGAAGTGGACGAGATCCTTTTTCTTTTCCCTTTTGGATTAGATGGGCCAGATATTCTGTCCTGAATCGAGATTGCAGCTTGGTCTGAATTACTCTCATCCTTCTGTATGTTCCCCGTAGTTCATCTGCTCCAATTACTTGACCCTCGGGGAAATGAGAATGCCTTGTTGGATGCAGAAACATTGCAGGTGTTAATGGGATGAGATCTTCGCCGTCCTCAGTTATTGTTGTCAGGGGGCGATCATTGATTGTTGCTTGCACAGTAGATAGACATGTGCGAAGCTCGTCGTAAGTCAGCATGGCTTTTCCGAGCATTCTTCTCATTTGGTTTTTCATACTTCGTACAATGCGCTCCCACCATCCTCCCCACCACGGTGCAGATGGCGGATTGAATGTCCATTTTATGCTGTTGACATTCATTTGCTCGATAACTTTCTCCCAATCTAGCGACCTCATGAGATTGACAACTCCCACGAAGTTCGTCCCGTTGTCGCTGTAGAACGACTTGGGTCTCCCATATTGATTTATGAATCTCTCCAGGCTCCCAAGAAATGCTTCGGCACTGGTAGACGTCACCACATCAAAATGGACGCATCGATAAACTGCACAGGTGTAGAGTACTACCCATGCCTTCGTCTTATCTTTTAATTGCAGGTTTCCGGCAAGATCGACTCCAGTAGTTTCAAATACTTCGGCCGAGTTCACTCTTGCTTTTGGTAACGCCGCTGGAATTACTTTCATCGACTTTGCATCAAATCGCTGACATCTTGGACATTGGTGCAGAATTGTCTTCACGGTCCTCCTGCCTCCCAAAATCCAATATTTCTCTCTGAGCTTGCATAATAGAAACTGGGCTCCTGCGTGGCCATAAATACGATGCAACTCGGTGATCATCATAGCAGTCAAGGGGTGTCTCGGTAAAATTACTGGCCACTTGAAGCTGTCGGTGTCGTCCTTCTCGAGCAGTCTTGACTCCACACAAACGAGTCCTTCTACTTCGACCAAGGATAACTTCTTATTGAGGCTGACATCATTAGTATCCAACGCCTCATCTTGAATTACTTTTAGCACTTGTCTCTCTGCATTTCTTATAGCACTTATGCAGAGTTGACCCACTTCTTTCCTCCCTTCAATTCCAGCCGCAGTCTTGGAATTGTTTATGAATCTTGATATCCATGCCATTACTCGTACATTCTTCAGGTAAGTGGAGAATTTGGTCTGGAACCATTGTGATTTCCGGGTGGATTGAAACGTCATCTTCGTCTTCACTAACTCACTCGCGAATTCTTCTTCATCAACTTCCACTTGGTTGGATGGCCAGTCTGCTTCAGGTCGTTTCAACCATTCCGGTCCCTCCCACCATAGCGATTCTAACAATTGACTTGGAGTACATCCTCGAGACGGGAGATCTGCAGGATTCTTGCTTCCTGGAACATGTCTCCAATTCTCCACACTGGTCTTGTCGCGTATCTCTTTAACACGATTTCCAACAAACCGATTCAAGCTGGCGTCTCTTTGTATCCACGCTAGCGCTGTGGTAGAATCCGTCCACTGGAATGACTCAGTAATTGGTACATCCAATGAGCTCTTAACTAACTCCATGAGTCTGGCTCCGATGAGGCATCCGATTAATTCCAGTCGTGGGATGGTGCCTCCTTTGACAGGTGCTACTCTAGATTTGGCTTGTAATAGAGTCACCTTAACTTGATCATTCTTCTGTGACCGTGCATAGATCACTGCTGCGTAGGCGTACTTGCTTGCATCAGTAAATAGGTGAAGCTGTAAGGAGTCTGGTGCACTTATCATCATTACTCTTGGAATATGTATCTCTCGTAACATGTGAGCTTGATCCATCCATTCTTGAAATTTTGATGACGTCCCTTCATCCAAATCCTCATCCCATTTCACGCCATATTTCCACGTATCTTGCAACAATAGTTTCGGTTGTAGCGTTGCAGGGCAGGTAAATCCAATCGGGTCAAATACTTGATGCAACTTTGACAATATCTTTCTCTTCGTGATAGGACCGTCCAATATAATGGAATCAAACAGCACTGATATTGTGTCGGCCTGTTTATCCCACGTCATACCCAATACTGACGTCGTCGTCCTTTGTTCATCATTGAGGCTCGCGTCAGTGATTGTGGACTCCCATTCTCTCAATTCCATTTTCGCGTCGGTCATCATAGAAGTGGACATTTTCTTGAACTCTTCCATTTCATTCTGTGTGTCGACTGACGTGATGCTGTTGTCCACATACAAAGACTTCAGCAACTTCTGGGCGATTTTCTTCTTCTCACCCTCATACTTGGACAGATGAAGATCAAATACGGCTCCCAGGAGAAATGGACTGGTGGTCACTCCAAATACGACTCGTGCATGTTCATAAACTTTAACTTTTTTGCGCTCGGAGTCCTCCCACCACAGAAACTTTTGGTAGTTTCTGTCTTCTTTATTGATCCCTATCATCTGGAATGCCTTTCGTACATCAGAAATCACTCCAATGTTCCTCTGTCTGAATCGGTGCAGTACAGATGGAATTAATTCTATCAAATTCGGTCCCTTGAACAGACTTTCATTTAAGGACGGTTTGCCAGCGGCCTTGCAGCTTGCGTCGAAGACTGGGCGCACTGGCGTGGTGGTACTTTCCGGTTTGAATACTGGATGATGAGGTAAGTAATGACCATCAGGGGGCGACGACTCTGTAACTGCCTCGATGATGCCTTCTTCCTCCCACCCTCGAAAAATCCCGTCATATACTTCATACATATTCTTTTCTACTAATTTCTTGGTGGTGGACATCAGCCTTCTTTCTGCTATTGCCCGATTTGTTGGCAAGGTACGTTCCGGTTCTCCGTTAATCCATGGCAGACTCGCGGAATAATGACCTTCCTCGTCTCTCGTTACGTTCGTTAAGAAGTGCTGTTTTGCTGCTTCTTCTTCTTCTTTCTTCGTTTGGACATGCACCGGATCTAAAATTCCCAATGTCTCCAGTGACCACATGTCTTGAATTGAGCGTTCTTGGCTTGATGCAAGTGAAATTGTCAAGTTTGACGCTACGTTCTTTGGCGTTGGAATTGGACCTCCCAACACCCATCCAAATACTGTTTCTTCGGCGGTCAAGTTAGCACCCAGTTCTATTTTCTTTCCGGTACATAACTCGGCACGCAAATCTGATCCGATGAGAATCTCAATATCGACCTCATCCACATGAGCCAAATGGAAGTCTGATAGGAATATTTTGTTTCTCTTCAGACGATCAATCCATGGACCCTTCGGCACTCTTGGAATGGACGTGCAGACTATTGGTATTTCTCTCAATGTCCACGTCTTCTTCTGGCTGCCATCCAAACTCTGAATTTGCACTTTGTGAAGTTTCTCGGCGTGTACATCCGTTACGAACCCACCAAGCAGCATATTCCTCACGTACTCTATCCCCTCTTCCTTGCTTCCAATTTTCTGTATGGTTCTTGACCCAATGTAGCTCACTTGGCTTCCTTCATCAACAAGAAGACGGACTGTTATTGCACCAGCAGGTCCAATTACTTTCACTACCACCACTTTCAGCAGTACTTCCAAATTTTGACTAAGATTTGAATTGCAAATGGCGGTGTTGACTTGCTGTTGTACTTCCGGTCTCCTGGCATCGTTTTCTTCTCGTCTAGGATTACCATCACACATTACACTTTGATGTTTCCTTCCACAAAGCTGACACTGAATAGCAACTCTGCAGTTCTTGGAGATGTGACCAGGAATTAGACAAATGTAGCAAACCCTCTTATCTCGCACTTTCTCCCTCTTCACATCAATCGTCATGTTCTTTGCTCTTCTGCAATCTGGACTGTTGTGATTGGTCATGTCGCAAAATATGCATTGTATCTTGGCTGCCATCAGTCCAGCTGCTGTGTGAATGTCATCCTCCATATACTTATTCTTCTGATGAGGATTTCCATTCTTCTTGTCCTTGGGAGTGGGTGTGGCCTGCGTGGGTTGCACAAATCCATCTCTCGCAAGTGACCTCTGCTCTTCGTTCTCCACCTCTTGTTGCAAAAACTCCATTAAGTAGTCGAGTTCTGACTTGGGTGGAACTTCTTGTGTACCATCTTTTCTGTAGAACGCACTTCGTTGCCACGCCATGAGAATGTCTTCTTGTAGACTTGATTCGACCATGGGGAACAAGAACGTGTGCTCTCTGGTAACACCCAAAGAATCTAAAGCTTGTAAGTGCGAATCCAAGCTGTCGTATAACTTTGATAGCGACATCTTCTCTTTTGATTTTGCACTCCACGTCATCTTCAATAATTCTCGCACATAAACTTGCGTTAACAATTTCGTATTCCCAAAACGCTGTTGGAGAGCTGCCACGGCTTTTGGGTAGTTTTCGGTTGTTTGAGGATACTTGGTGACTAAGTCATGAGCACGAGTTCCAATAACCATTGCTTGCACGAGGTACTGCAGTTTGTCACTGTCGTGAAGCTCATCATCTTCATGAATCTTTTTGAATTGGGACCAGAATCCAAGCCATTCTTTCAATTCCCCATTAAACTTTCTTATCTGAATCTTGGGGAGCTTGTAGGTCTTCTTTTTCTGCCCATCGGAATAAACTGATGCGTAACTGCTGGAAGGACTTGGTGGACGTACGAAGCGCTCTTCAATTCGGAATTTTGTCCTAATTCCTTTACTTTGATACTCTTCGATGGCTTCTTTCTCGGCATCGTATTCTTCTTGAGCACATCCTTCATCCAACATCATGTCCAGCAATTTCTGATCCAACTCCTGAATGTCTGTCATCTGTTTCTCCATCCTTTTTCCTAAGACTTGGAGATCGAGCAGTCCAGGGTTGGTCTTCGTCAACTCAGCTTCTACTTCATTACATATTTTTGTTATTGCCGACCGCACGGGTGTCCTCACTTTTTTGAGTCGATCCATCTCCGTGGCGGTATCTCGGGAACAACAAACCCAAACAAAAAACAACAATTAGTAAAACGAACGTTCAGATTTCGTCCTGAAACGCTCTCCACCTCAATATCTCCTGTATGCAGAGGATGGGGCCCTCAAAGAGGCAATTCAACAACAATAATCCAATACGTGATTCCTTCCTCACGGGTGTGGTAGGTTAATTCTCCTCCGTCCCGGCTACTTGGAATAGGAATAATTGAAAGTTATCACCTGAATCACCCCCGAATACTCAGGGTGGGGTCCTCAAAGAGGCAAGGGATGATGGGAGCGCCTTGTACGAAGTATGAAAAACCAAATGAGAAGAATGCTCGGAAAAGCCATGCTGACTTACGACGAGCTTCGCACATGTCTATCTACTGTGCAAGCAACAATCAATGATCGCCCCCTGACAACAATAACTGAGGACGGCGAAGATCTCATCCCATTAACACCTGCAATGTTTCTGCATCCAACAAGGCATTCTCATTTCCCCGAGGGTCAAGTAATTGGAGCAGATGAACTACGGGGAACATACAGAAGGATGAGAGTAATTCAGACCAAGCTGCAATCTCGATTCAGGACAGAATATCTGGCCCATCTAATCCAAAAGGGAAAAGAAAAAGGATCTCGTCCACTTCAAGTCGGAGACATCGTCATGATTGGAGCGGACAACGTGAAGAGGTTCCAATGGCCAATGGGTCGTGTGCTAGAGTTGATTCCTGGACGTGATGGAAAAGTGAGGGTGGTGAAAGCTCAAACTCCACATGACTACGGACTAGTGAGAGGGAGCAACGGAACATATATCCTCAAGACTGTGAAGAAAGGTCGCATTCTGACGCGTCCTTTACAACGAGTATATCCTTTGGAAATCTCGGGTAAAGAAGAAATACCAGTTTCCGAAGAAGTGAGAAAACTTGCTGTTCAAATCCATGATGAGAGGACAGCAACAGATATGCAAGACGAATTGGCGACGGAGGATGATCGTCAAAAGGAAGTCAAGACGAAACGAGGGAGAAACCTGAAACCTGTCGCCAGATATGGACAATGGATTTCTCATTTGTCGTTACAAGTTTAAGATGTATATTTATGTATGAATTGTGAATATGTAATTGTTCATTGTTCCAATGAAGGTGGGAGTGATGTTAGATTTCATGTTCAAAGTGAGATTTTATGAGCGGTAGAGTTGAAGTAAAAAAAAAGAGACGTGGTCCAGCTTTGTTTGTGAGCAGTCGCATTAAATTGTCCTCTCTCATAATAATTTAAATGAAAGTAAAATAAAGTAAATTGTTTAAGAAAAGTCCACGGTTTTGCACGTCCGGTATTCTTTGCGACCAGTAAGAGTTCAATGAGTCAGGGTACGTGTAGGATTAGTGGCATAAATACCCAAAAGGCATAATATTAGGAGACGGAGCCCTACGGGTAGTGGGTGACTTGTCGTGTCTCAACAGGTGGGATGAATTTCCACTCGACTCCTTTTGGTAACAAAAATTCTTCAATTTGTTGGTGTTTCCATTCACCAATCGCTTTCTTGAGTTCGCCATCTGCTCCCCGGAAGTTTGTCCCGTTGTCAGACAAAATACAGCGGGGTTGTCCTCGAATGGACATAAATTTTCTCAACGCGTTGATGGCTTCATCGGTGTCAATTCTTCGTGCGATTTCCACATGAATGGCACGAGACGTCATACATACAAAGAGGGCGACCCATCGTTTCTGGACGCTCCTTCCAACGATAACTTCTACTGGACCAAAGTAGTCGAGTCCAGTGTAGGTAAATGGGGCTTCGTAAGCTGCAACTCGACAAGGTGGTAATGCTCCCATTTCCGGAAATGACGGTTTGGCTCGGTTCAATTTGCAGCAGTTGCACCGAATCCAGGATTTCTTGACGGCAGATCTCATTCCCAAAATCCAGTATCTCCGTCTAAGATCGTTAAAAACGGGTTCTTGACCTTGGTGTTGGTGGGCGCGGTGATAATAGTCAATCATCCTCATAACAAACGGATGCTTATCGTCAAGAATAACGGGTTGTTTAGTGTCCCATCCAATACACAAGGCTTGGTCAATTCTTCCTCTCAATCTGATGATTCCATCTTCATCCATGATTGGACTTAATCTGAGTAGTCGACTGTGGTTGGCTTGTTTTGATTTCCATAAATCCACATTATCTTGCAGGAGTTGGACTTCAGTGGGAAATAAATCCTTTTGACATTTCCTCCACCATATCTTCTCGGCGGCTGCAAGTTCGGTAGGGGTGACGGCTTGTCGATATTTTATTGAGGTCGCTGGATTCTTGACTCGTTCGATGAATCGCAGCATGTAAGCCGTAATACGTAGCAATTTCATAAAATTGAATCGGTCTGAATTCGGTTGGTAGGTGTCACTTTCTCTCACCAATCCTAGAAATCCTGTCTTCACTTCGATATCTTACCGATAGCCAGGTTTCGGCTTCTTGACATAGGTACTCAGGTCCGCGGAACCATCTGGCGTTGGAAGTGAGATCACTTGGCGTATTTCTGGTGGCGTCGTCTGCCACATTATCCAGAGTAGGTACCCATTTCCAATTTGACCCCTCCGTTGATTCCAAAATTTCTCCCACGCGGTGTGCGACGAATTGCTTATAGCGACGAGTGTCGGCTGCTCTTATCCAACACAGAACGGTTTTGTTGTCGCTCCAATAGACGGTTCGTTTAATTTCAAATTCTAATTCTTTCTTCACGGTGAGTCCGAGTCTTGTCCCCATTACGGCTGCCATAAGCTCCATTCGCGGGATCGATATACTTTTCAGGGGGGCTACTCTTGATTTGGCCATCACTAGACTCGCCTCGATTCTCCGTCCATTGTCGATACGGAGATAAGCTGCTGCGGCGTAGGCTAGTTCACTAGCGTCGCAAAAGACGTGCAGCTCAACTTCACTTTCTTCACAGTTGAAAGTGGCGTAACATCGTGGAATCTTCAAATTCTTGATTGACTCGAATTCATGAATCCACATTTTCCAATTGTCCAGGCATTCTCCTGTGATTTCGTCATCCCACCCGTAACCGGATCTCCACACTGCTTGTAACAACATCTTTCCTTTTACAGTGTAATGAGCGATGAGTCCGATCGGGTCGAAAATTGACATTACGACTCCAAGAATCTGTCGTTTTGTCGGGTGCGTTTCACCATTGATCACTTGACTTTGCATTTTCTTAAAATTGATGGGAAATGACCAACAATCTTCAGTTGTATCCCAATGGAGGCCCAAAACTCGTTCGACTTTGTTCCCAGCATCACTATCAAAATTCTTCATCCTTTCACCACTATGTTCTTCTGGGATGAGTTTGATGAGCTCTTCGCTGTTTGAGACCCATCCAGTGATCTCAAAACCTCCTCGTCGGTGTACTTCGGTGACACCTTGAATTATTTGGATCGCATCCTTCACGGTACTTTTCGAATCCAAATAATCGTCCATATAATGTTTCGTTTTAATGGCTGCTGCTGCTTCCGGATATTCCTCCCGGTGGGCGTCAGCATTTTTGTGGGTCACAAATATCGTCGAGGTGGGTGACGAGGTCCCTCCAAATATTAACACTTCCATTTGGTAGATATCGGGTTTCTTCTCTCGGTCCCATCCTCTCCACAAAAATCGTTGAGATGCCAAATCTTCTTTTCTGACTCGTACTTGATGAAACATATCACGAATGTCGCCAGAGAATCCAATCTGATTTTGACGAAATTTGATGATCACTGACGCCAGCGAATTTAACAAGTCTGGTCCAGTCAGTAAATAATCGTTCAGCGATTTTCCATGAATCTTCGCTGCGGCGTCGAAAACTAGTCGATATTTTCCAGGTTTGCGGGGCTTGTCGATGACGAAATGCGGCAAGTACCACACCTTCGATTCGTTGTTGTTGACTTCACTAGGGTCGAGTTTTCTTGCATAACCCTTCATAATATATTCATTTATTTTCTCCTCATGAGCAAATCCAGCAGCACGATTACGATCCATTTTCTTTTCAGCACATTTCAATCTGCTTTCTGCCATGAGTTTACTGTTGACGAGTGATGGCTCTTCATCTTTATAGAGATGTCCAATCTCGTATCGATTCTGACCAGGGATGAGATTCAGTCTTCTCTAAGATCTCCTGGGCACGTTCATCTTCTTTTTTCTGGGGTTGAAAGTCGGGGACTTTCACTCCGAAAGCTTCGACAGAGAAATAGTTTTTCACGATATTGTGCAGGTCATCCATGTCGTCGTGGTTGCATAAATGCGTCACACTTCCTTTCGTTTCTCTGCCCGACATTATTCCATGTATGGCCCAGCCCAGCAGGGTCCGATGAGCCACCGCGTTGTTGTCCACACCTTTGACACTTCTCTGTGGGACGATCAGCTTCGTATTGTTAACTCCAATTAGCAATCGAGGTTGCACGTTAACCATGTCTTTAATTGGCACTTGATTCAGATACGGAAATTTACTTTTCAGTTCCTCTGCGATGACAGTTTGACTGGAGCAATGGAAATCTTGCACGGTCTGAACATCCTTCATTTCGAACCATTTGGCGTATGGGAACACTCCTTGAATCTCCATCGTCAGTGTTTGAGATTGATCTTCCATGTGTGAATGCGATCCAATCCACTGGAGACACAACTCGGTTTTGCGACCGCTACTTCCAATTTGCTTTGCCAAATCTGAGTCAATCAAAGTTAGGGTGCTGCCGTTGTCGAGTAAGGCATGCGTCGATACCACACCCTTCGGTCCTTTGATTTTAACCGGTACGATCATTAATATCTTATCGCTGGTCTTTCCCCGAACATGATGGGCTGATCCAGCAGTCTGACCTTGACCTGCATTCATCGATGATGATGATGGACCGTCTGTCGCTGGTGGAGGCGTTCCTCTCTCCTCACGACTTCTTGGTGGACGATGGAGAAGTGGGTGGTGGTCGAAATTGCATCCATCCACGCCACACGATTTCTTTCGTTTACATTTCTCTTTGGAGTGACCTTTAGATAAGCACTTGAAGCAGGCTCTACAGCTTTTCACATTTTCCCATCGTTGATCCACACTAAGTTCCATAAATTTCTTGCACTCATTGGTCCAATGATTCTTCTTACATTCGTTGCAGATCTTCGTAATTTCTTTCTTGGACTCGGGGTCGGTGGCATTGTAACCCGCTTCTTTCTTTCGTGGTTGTTGTTCCGCCCACTTGTCCTTCTTCTCATCGGTAAGTCTGGGTGGTGTCATCAGCGTCGCTACTTTGGCCTTGAACTTGACCCACTCAGTGAAGTTCTCGAGACTTCCAACTTTTGCAGATTCCAACAGTTTCTCTTTCCACTGTGCCCGTAGTGAGGCTGGCAGTTTCTCCTCCAAATCCGACAATAACAATGGATTTTGGAGGTGGTGTACTTCACCAAGAGATTTGATAGTCGCTGTTAAATTCATGACAGCCGATCCAAATTCCACCATGGTTTGTGGCTTATCCTCCTTCACGGGCTGGATTTGTCTTGCCTTCGCGACCATGGCTCGAATAATGTGCTCCTTTTGCCCAAATCGTTGTTCCAAAACTTCGATTACTTCAGGTAAACTTTTTGGTGACACTAAGAGGCACTCGACACTTTTAAGGGCTTCTCCCTTTGAACACTTTCGCAGTCTTTCTAAATTTTCTGCATCGTTAAATTCACATGCATCCGTCGTTCTGTTGTAGGATGCGATGAAGGCTGGCCAATCCTCCGCTCTTCCTCCGAAGTAGGGAAGATCACGACCTATCGTTTGGCGAATAATCATCTTGTCAGTAGAACTGGAGGTGGTTGACTTTTCACTTAATTTCTCCAGCGTCTTCGCAATCATCTCCAGAACGTTGTTGCTCGTTTCGGTTGTCTTTACTTGTTCTGGTAGATGGTCTGGTTCCGTTAACTTGAACCTTTCGAAACGTTTGGCGGCAGCATCAAGTTCCTTGTCGACATCTTCGTCGGAACCGAGATATTGTTCATCATCGTCGTCGATGGCGGCAATGGTGGCTTGATGTTGTTTCTTGAACACTTTGACATTGTTTTCAATTCGTTGCACTGTTCTCTTGGTTTTAACTTTCAAGAGATTATGTTGAGACGTGATGTGGGATAATTCAATAATGGGATAATTTAATAGAGCAATTTCCCTTTTCAGATTTACGATATTGTTAGGCTCATGGAGTGGGTGGTCGGAGTCCAACCTTGCAGTCTTGGTGGCGATTTCCCCTTGAAGACTGATTAACTTCACTTCGGACAATTCCAATTCCTGCTCCAATTCGGATACTCCGTTTTCAGCAGCAATCATCTTCTGCTCAAGTTCCGCTTCTGCTTCAGCACGGCGCCTCGTTGACGACGACGACGTGTACGGCGTAGGTGAGGGAGGCTTCTCCTTCTGACGGAATGGGGCGTAGGAGAGCATCTTTCCAAAAACGATTGATTGGCGGTGGGATCAGGTGGGCTGGTCGACGGTCGAACTGTTTCTTCTTCGTCGGTGTGACCATCGTCTTCCAAATCCTCCTGTCGTCCGTCACGATGACCTTTAGGTGACCCCGGGCAGGGATCGTAGCGTTTAGGTGGCCCACGTTGACGAGTTCCTTTTCTTGGTGGGTCCTGTCCGCTCATGATGATGGATACCAAAAATAAATCCAACAAACAAACGAAAATTCAAATGACAATTCAAAATTAATTCCCCTTGGAACGTAACGACCTCAAAATGCCTCAATAAGCTGAGGCAAACTGTAAATACGGTTTTGTCATCCTGGACGGGTCGATAATCGTTCGTCCTCCAAGGTCCGGCCGTTTCCTCCTTAGAACTGATCCGGTTCGCGAGACCAAAAATGTACGGTCGTGCTTCTCGCGATAACTCAGGTGGTTGTGCTAATAGTTGTAAATTATTGCACTGGGTTGACCAAACATTTATCATAACAAAATTACGGTATTTATTCAACTGACACTATTAAACCGGAGAGGAATGATGTGTACAGTACAAGAGATTCTACACGAATATACGTGCTTACTCGCACACGGACAAAAGCTTACTTACTAAAAACTGCGGGCTCGAACTGCCCAAAGACAAAGAAAGAATGTTCTAAAAATAGAATCGAACATTCGAGAACAAATTCATAAAATCCGCTAAACATTCTCACATTACACTGCATACTAAAAACTTGCATGAAAATCGACATAAAATAATTTCACATACATACATACTTAATATTTTCATGAAAATTAAAACTATAAAAAATGATTATTAATGACTCGACGGAACAGTCATTGTGCTCGAAAATGTTCAAATTTCTGAAGCAAATTTACTGCCACTCAAGATTTATGTAAATGCAACTCAAAATTTGCATAACTTGTAAAACAAATAATAAATAATGAATAAATATAGATTCTTAAATTTTGTATAAATGCATAATGAATAAATAGTTTTATCCAGTTGAATGAATTTTGAATTTGAATGAATAAATATTTTTTGAACAGGTATCACTCTATGTAAATATATCCCAAACTTACATGTATATTTTTTGTTAATTATAATATTTCAACGCCAGGGGCCACTCCCAGAGCCCCGGCTTAAATATCAGCTTAAGCTAATCTTTATTTGAGCGCGGTTTAAGTCCGTTTTTTGGACCGTCCCAGAGCCCTGATCGGATTATTTTTGGATTGGCTCAACTCAACTTTTGGTTTAAACCAGTCTCAACTTTTCATGAGACTAAATCCTGCCCGACCATAGCTCCAAAATCATTTTCTCCTTGTTAAAACGACCTGCCCATTCCAAATTCATTATCAATAACAAAAATGATCTCCCCTATCAAACCTTATTCTGTCAACGTAAGTAATTATAATTTACCTTCTCTCTTTAACAATAACAATTATATATACACGTTTCTCCCCCACAGGTTGCAACGTGACCACCGTGATCAATCTCACATTCACTGCTAGACAAGTAAGTCGATTAAAAAAAAATTAATGGTCTTCACTCATAATTAATGGTGGTGACACATTTGTTTAGATGCAGTACTCAATTGGGGCCAGTGAAAAGAAGATAGTTCTTTATAAGAAATTAATTGTTACAGTAGCTGAAGAAGCAGCCTTATCATGGGTGGACTGAGAACGTGGCGAATTATTTAATTATATTATTATCGTCTTCATGTCGGTGCAATTATCGCGAGGGAATATATTAGTATATAATAAATTGTTCTTCATTAACGATTGCATCATACAAATGAGTTCTCAAGCTTTCTTTATTTGCATTCAAAACAACATGTACTCAAACATGGGACTGACTTAGATAAATCTAGTCGTTACTCATAGATAGGAAGTGGCCCGTTCGTGACCTGTGACCAATGATTGATGTATGTAGAGCCCATACTTGAAAACATAAATCAACACTTTCGTCACCTCGATAGGTCAATAGAGGTCTATCTGTAAAAAAAATGAATGAAAAGAGAGTGAGTCACGGCCAAATTTTGTGTCAAGACCACAATTTCTAACCTGTCGGAAATTTGAAAGAAGGATCACGTCGATCAATACCACCGGGAATGCTATTTAGGAGCTAAAATTAATTCACGTGCTCATGAAGTGGCGATAACAGCTGTAGCGATCAGTCCTAGTAAACCAGTTATAATAATGAGAATTCGAAAACTGATAACATCTCAAATAAAATGATAAAATCGATACTTCTAATTTCTAATTTTTCTTATAAACGTGCGCCTCATTTTTTCACTGCTTATTAAATTGCCCTTGTAGCGTATAGTTGTGGTATTTCCAAAATGCACCAGTAAGAAACGTAGGACTGTAGAAACAAGGGACCGTCGTAATTATTTTCCCTTCAAGATGATGATAAAGTTTGATAAGCTCTCTTGCGCTCCAAGCTGGCGCACCACCCTAGCACACTATAATGTTCCCTTATATCACGTTCACTTAGTCTCTCAAATGTTTGCTTTCTTTTATATATTTGTCTTCTAATTGCACTCGGTAGGAATAAAGGCACTCCC